GTGTGTGTGTGTGTGTGTGTGTGCGTGTGTGTGTGTGTGTGTGTGTGCGTGTGCGTGTGCGTGTGCGTGTGCGTGTGCGTGTGTGTGGGTGGGTGGGGGGTTTGCGTGCGCGTGTGTGTTTTTGTAACCCACATGAAACATGGCCTGATATCTTATCTGCTACAAAAAGAATATATAATTAATATATATTCAAGATATTGGATATATATATGGAATTTCCTGCTCTTCCCTTTCTTTTCGTTCTTGCTCCTTTGACGTGATTTCCCCCATAACTCTTCCCTACCAACCCGATTGCAAATATTTTCGGGAGAGCACCTGCCACTGTCCCTTCCGCGCCAGATTGCAATCAAAATTCCTCCTCCAAATATTCCTGTGACGCGAAACTATTCTTTTTTTTCGTCGCTATCCCCCTCCCCCTTCCCCCCTTTCCCCCTGTTTGGCTCGTGATTCTGCCCGACCACCCAAGCCTAGGATCCCGGTGTCAAGCTCCGTTGTCTCGCGCGAACAGGTTTCAAGACGCCTCCCGTTGGCAGATCGCCGTCGCGGGAAAAGCGTGATGTCATCGTTGGGGGTCCCGGATGTCCGCCATTCGCCGGTCTTCGCGGGCTTTTTTAAAAGTTGGCGCGCGTGTGATTGGGAGACCGGGGGATAATTCCGGGTCACGTAGCAGCGACGTAAAAACTTTCTCTGAGCTTTGTTTTTATTATTTTTATTATTTTTTTTTTTTTTTTTTTTTTTTTGTCTTTTGAGAAGTTTTTTAAGGCTGTCGTTTCGGATGACGACGCGACAGTCTTGAAGAGTTTTCATTTAAGGGCGTGTGTTCTTTCAGTTACTTTTCACTGATCGTCATTTTTATTATTATGATAATGATTATGATAATGAGAATATTATTGATTGTTATGATGATAACAATGACGATAATGATAATGGTGATAATAACAATAATAATAGTAATTATAATAATGATACTACTAATGATATTGCTTTTAATAATGATGAAAATAAAAATAATGATAATAATTGATATCATTATCATTGTAAAGATAACAAAATTAATTTAACCACCAACGCTTAAGGCAAATCCAAGACATCTCTAAACCCCCCCTTCCCCTCCCCCCAGGTGGCGAGGTGGCCGAGGAGTGCTCCGAGTCCGAGCTGGTCTTCTCCTGCCCCGAGGATGGCCAGGAGTTGGCCATCCGGGAGGCGTGGCTCTACGGCTCGACGGCCAGAATCATGGTGGACCAGGGCCAGGGGGACAAGTGCTACGTGCCCGAGTACATGGTGTCCTACAAGCAGGGCACCATCCTCCAGTACATCAACAAGCAGTAGGTGTTTGAGCGACAGTGTGTTGGTGTGGTGATTTGCGCGGGCGAGCGGTGGCTTCTAATGTCTGTAATTGCTTCTGAAGTGCTTAATGGCCTCTGATGCCTCTAATGGCTTCTAATGTCTTTGAATCTTGTCTTTCGCCTCCGCAATAATTTGCAAAATGGGTCTCTTCGTATTATGTGAGAAGAAAAATCAAGGTTTTCTTATCTTCGTGAAGTGAGACTCGACTAGAGTGTAGATCGAAGAATCTCCTTATCATTAAATCTCTCTTCAGTATCCCAAAGAAATTACCTCCTTGAGTCCACAGTGAATTATTTTCACGTTGGAGAACAGAACTTGGCATCTGTGCGGCCAGCTCTTTGGTATGGGTAATGTTTTTTTTTTTTCTTTTTTTTTGGGGGGGGGGGGTGTAAGGTTCGGTCGACTTCGTATGCTCACGTTACTCATTTATTTATCCATTTATTTCCTCCTGTGTGTAAAGATACATTCACAAGGATAACAATTAAAGACACCATTCGTGGTTGAAGAGTATGCCTTACGCAGTACTTAGGCCTACTCGCATTTATTTGTCACTTCGAAATAGCCCCGATCCAGGGAACGGAGGAAGGGGAAGAGGGGGGTGTATCTCGGGACGTTGGAAGTGGAGGAACGAATGCGATAATTAAAGGAAAATTGCACAGCGGCAGTAAATGTGAATGCGGAGAGACACGAAAAGAGATTAATGATAGAAGTAAAAAAAAAAGATGCAGTGATAAATTTCAATATAGCAGGTTGATGAGAAAATAACGAATACGTGACACGAACGGCAGAAGTGCCCTCGACTCGACTCGGCTCATTTGCATACGCGGGATAAACTCATCCCTTTCTCGCAAGACTCTGCATGGTCCGTGCAGTCCCGGCAGAAGGCGGTCCGCTAGCAACAATGATCTACCGATATTAATCATCCCTGCGACAGAAAGAACACGTCTGCCTCGAAAGTAGAAGGAAATCACGCATTTTTTTACGATAATGATCGCTGCAGCACAATACGAGAGAATCTTGATGGTACGTGAGGCTGGCGCTGCGACGAGACTTCCCACGTCGCTCTGCTCCCCTTCCTTATCTCGCCCCGTCGCCCTCGTCCTCCTCGCCCTCGCCCGCGTCCTCCTCGCCCTCGCCTCGTCCTCCTCCCGCG